CCGTAATGTAAAACTTTTATATTGCATATTGCATCTTATAATATAATAATCCCAAAGTTAATATATCCCGTTTCGCACAGGTTACGTACTATATATATCCCGTAATTTTTTGTTCTTTATTTATATACTTATAAGGCTGGATAAGTGTCCAAAAAACTGTACATCCCGTGCATCGCACGGGCTCTGTACTAATATATATATTAAAAGTCAACCTATTTACCAAAAATAGTAGCAAGAAAAGTCAATACACATTTAATGCATACTTTATTTGGAATTTTTTTACTATATGCATTAAATGCTTGCATATTTACATTTACTATCCAAATATGATCTTAAAGATTTTTTTCCTTAAATAATTTATGCAATGATTTTGTTGATATCCATTATAATTAATATTTGTCGAGTAATATTTTTTAACCTTTATTTAATTATATAACACTAATATTTTTTTTAAAAAAATAATATTGTTTATTATTTAAAAGATAACAATCGCATCATTAAATGATTTTATTGATGGTTAGATAATAAAATTATATTAGTTATTCTTTAAAATTTCGACATGTTATTTATTTGTATATTATTGTCAACTATGATAGTGTTTTTATCACTTTTTTTTGTTATGTTTCAAAAATGAACTTATTGTAAAATATTTTTCTATTGCATAGTATGTTAAATAAACTATTATGAGAAATTGAATTTTAAAAAACATGTGTGTGTATTTTGTAAACATTTATACTCAAAATTTTATTTTGAATTTCATTACATAAAGAAGACTACTTCTGAAACTTTTATAAGTAATAATAATTACATTATATGACTGTAAATTTTATAATAAAATAATAACTGAGTATTATATGGTGAACGATAATTAATAAATTTTATATTTTTTCTTATATCAATGAATAAATATGTATTCTAAAATCAAATAAATATTAGTATGACGTGTTAGCGGAATTATATATCAATTAATATGTTAATTTTTTGGCTTAAATAAACGCCACTTATTAAAAGATGTGAAATATGAATGATCCAAGCCTATTGTTTTTTTTGTCTTGAATGCAAGATATTGACTGGTGATCATGCTGGCGACACAGTGTTGATTCCTAGAATGAATATTACTCCTTCTGATCTTATGGTTCCATTCAAGTTTCAGCTGCGGCAATTTCCACTTATGGTTTCGTATGCCATGACCATAAACAAGAGTCAGGGACAATCTTTATCCTACGTTGGTCTTTTTATAAAGAAGTTTGTCTTTAGTCATGGTCAATTATATGTTGTTGTTTCGCGTGTGACTAATAGAAGGGGGTTGAAGATATTAGTTTGTGAGAATGAGGAGTTACCCGATAATCAAACTCATAATGTTGTGTACAAGGAAGCCCTTGATAATATATGATTGTTTCTTTTTTCAATACTATTTTATTGTACAATTTCCTGTGTATTGTACAACTTTTATTGAATATTGCATTAAATTATAATACTCCTCAAATGAATATATCCCGTGTCTTGCACAGGTCACGTACTATATATATCCTGTACATCTTTTTTATTCATTTATATAATTATAACGCTGTATATATGGGCTTAAAATTGTGCACCCCGTGCATCGCACGGGCTCTGTACTAGTAAAAATATATTTACTATAAATAAAATATATTGATATATATACCATCAAACTTTTTTTTTTCTTTTTACAAAAATGAGATTTCAGGTATTTATAATTTAACTTATATATCTATTAAGTTGTGAAAAAATAAGTTTTTTTTGTTGAATATTTAATTTAAATTGAATTTTTGCAGCACATTACATAACATTTGGTTGATGAGAGCGTTTCAAATGAACAGATTTAAGAAAAAAATAAATAAAGTTAAAAATATGTGATTACAAAAAAAAAAAAATCAACAATAGAAAATGTAACAATTCAACTAAATACTCGATTTTATATCACTAAATCGATTTACAATTAAGAGACCGAAAGAGAAATTGGTTTCAAAAACTTATCTAGAAATATAAAATATAAATATTGTAGTACATTCGTCAGCAAATAAATAATATTATTAATTTAAATTAAAATAACTTGGGAAATGAATTATAATTATTAATATAATGTAAATATTTTTTGTATTTTTATATATATTTTATTTTATTTTCTATATATATGTATATATATAAACATTAAAAAAATGAGGGGGCCCACGGCCCCCCCTGGGCTTTATATGGTTCAGTCAATGTCCAAAATCCTACATCTTTTTGCTTTAGGCAAGTGTAGTGTCAGGGGCGGACCCAAGGGGGGTCCTGCAGGGGCACGTGCCCCTGTGAGATGAAAAATTTCAACAAGTATATATATATATAATAGTGTATAATATAACATATAGTTTTTAATATAAAATACATATAGTTTTTAATTATATCACATTTTCTTGTAGGCCCGGAACCCCACTACACTCAACCAAGATTTTTCTTACTCCCGTCACTCATCAGTACTGAAGAGTGAAGATTCCTTCTTCTTTACTTACTTCTCTATTCTGTATTACAAAATTTCTTCTGCTTTGGGGTGAATGGTGAATCAGCGATTACAAGAAAAGAAATATAAAAGATCTTTCAATAATTGACTGTATGCTTTATTTAAAGGATCTTTCTACTGCTATCAATTTTTATTTAAAAAGTATGCTTTATTTAATTATTTTTTAGTTTTTATAACCCTAAATTTTGTATTTCTGTATTTTTAAAATTGATTTGAATTTTAATTTAGGGCTTTTATGATTTTAATAAAATAGCATCTTAAAATGTTATTTCTTATTTGTTGTGCATTTTTTATGTATTATTTGTTTTAAGTAATAACAGTTTTAAAATTAGCTTGTAATTTTTTAAGTTCTAAC